GCTCGTCTAGGACAAGGCCGTAACGTTGCCGAACACCCTGAAGTGAGAGAGGATAGGGCCAAGGCACCCAAGCTTCCCTCATTTGTTGATGGTAAGGACGACTTGGATGCTTACCTGCAACGATTTGAGAGATTCGCAACCACAGCTAAATGGGAGAAGACAGGATGGGCTTTGAAACTCAGTGCTCTTTTGTCTGGACGTGCGCTAGAGGTTTATTCACGATTATCTGAGGAAGCAGCCCAAGATTGCGACCGAGTGAAGTTAGCTTTAATGAAGAGATATGACCTTACAGAGGACGGCTATCGCCGTAAATTTAGAGCATTAAAGCCGGAGGTTGACAAGAGTCCTGAACAGTTTATAGTGAGACTGGACAGATACTTGTTACGTTGGTTAGAGTTGTCGAACACTGATCGTTCTTTCGAAGGCGTGAAAGATTTAATAGTGAAAGAACAGTTTATTGACTCTTGTCCAAAAGAGTTAGATATTCACCTCCGTGAAAGAGCCCCGGAAACGCTTGCTCAGATAGCGAAGATCGCCGATCAATACTTGGAATCACATGGAAAGCATCTGTTCAGCTCTGCGAGCAAGAAGGCACAAGTACAGCCCAAGGCGGAGGAAACAAAGACTACACAGAGTGACGCAACAACCCTCCAGTGTTACAAGTGTAATGCTCGCGGACACAAAGCTATTAACTTCCCAACCCTAGCTAAAAGGTGTTTCCTGTGTGGCTAGCAAGGTCATGAAGCGAGGAACTGCCGATCAGGTGGACGAAAGTCAGGAGGCCAAGGTAAGGATGGTAACCCTGTGCAACGTGCTCAAGTTAGTGCTGGCTGTTTGGTTAAGTCACCCGATCTTAACGCTACCCCCGAGAAAGTCAAGTCGTGTATTCAAGATGATCAGCTTCTGTTAGCCTGTGGCAAGAAAGTCCCGTTGCTGAGTAATGCCTGTATGAAACCCTTAACTGGAGTAAGAAGTAAGATGCCTGTTGTAAAGGGTAGAGTTGGAGAGAAGACTGTTGACGTTTTAAGAGATACTGGTTGCAGCGGAGAAGTAGTCAAGAAGGACCTTGTCGGCAAGGATCAGTTCACCGGAGACTTTAACGTTATGTTGCTTATTGACAACACGGCAAGGAAAGTGCCTATAGCGAGAATTTATGTTGATACCCCTTATCTTAAGGGCCATGTAGAAGCGCAGTGCCTTTCAGATCCTATCTATGACCTGATCATTGGCAACGTACCTGAGGCAAGAGACGCACAAAACCCAGACCTCAGTTGGCAAGAGGCCTGTACAGTAACTACAAGAAGTCAAGCTAAGAAAAAGGATGAACGCACAGCGTTGAAGGTGCCAAGTAGCCGTGAGAGCCCTATTGTGGATAGAGAGAAGCTCAAGCAGATGCAGCGTGAAGATGAGAGCCTGCGAAAGTACTGGGATCGAGGCGATGTGCTAGTAAAGGGTCAGGCGGAGATTTCATTTGAAGAAAAATGTGGAGTACTGTACCGTCTGTACAAGCACCCTTATGTGAATGGTGGAAAACCGCTTAAACAAGTCATGGTACCTGAAAAGTTGAGTCGCCCCATAATGGAAGTGGCTCACGGATCGATCATGGGCGGTCACATGGGCATCAAGAAAACAACAGACAAGATCCAGAGTGCGTTTTATTGGCCTGGAATTCAAGGTGACGTGACTCGATTTTGCAAGTCCTGTGACGTTTGTCAGAAGACTGTAAGTAAGGGAGCCGTGCCGAAAGTACCGTTAGAGAAGATGCCGCTGATTGATAAGCCCTTTAAGAGAGTAGCAATAGACCTTGTTGGGCCTATCAGTCCTCCGAGTGAAGAAGGACACAGGTACATATTGACGCTGGTAGATTTTTCGACTCGCTACCCTGAGGCTGTACCACTAAAGAACATTGATACGGAGACAGTAGCAAAGGCAGTGGTGGATATCTTTAGCCGTCTAGGAGTACCCGAAGAAATCCTGAGTGATCTGGGCACACAGTTTGTCTCGGAGTGCATGAGAGAAGTAACCCGACTACTAAGCATTAAACAGCTTACAACAACGCCCTATCACCCGATGTGTAACGGTTTGACGGAGAAGTTCAACGGAACGATGAAGTCTATGCTGAAGAGACTGTGTAGTGAGCAGCCAAGACAGTGGCATCGCTACATAAACCCACTGTTGTTTGCTTATCGTGAAGTCCCCCAAGAGTCCACTGGTTTTTCGCCGTTCGAGCTGTTATATGGAAGAGCTGCTGGAGGACCAATGACCATACTCAAACAGCTGTGGACGAAGGA